GAAATGTATGGCTCATGGCACACACACGGTGCCACACACGTCTGGTGAGAAGTATATGCAAGTCAGCCTGGGTACCATCCGGAGTTTCGCTCCGCCACGGTCGAAAAAATGAAAAAATCAAGCGAAAATCCAGATGGTACCCAGGCTATATGCAAGTCTCAACGACCCAAACATTGCCTCACTGCGTTTCTACAAGGCCTTTATACAATGTCCACGGTTTAGCGCTCGAATTCTACCTGCAGTATATATGCTGTTAGTGTTTCCAGCCAGTGCAGACCTGTAGACGTCAGAAATATCTGCACAGCTACAATTCTACATGCACTATAACCAGCATATACAGGTGGTATTGCAAGCCAGTGCAGGTAGACATCAGAAATACCTGCATAGCTCTTGTTATTCCTGCACTAACCTGTATATACCCAGCCCTGTACCATATCACTACTGTCACTATTACTTTATTTTTATGTGACATTACTAAACTGTTTGAATGCAACACCACATTGCTCATGCCCATGTCAACCTTTAAAAAGTACCTGTCAACATGGTTTATTTGTATCTCCATCTAACAAGCTACCTACAAATAAAAAGAAACAGGTCTATCATGTAACACTCGGTACCTCTTTAATAAAATGGCACAATGACATTTCATAACAGTTTTGGTACTCGTAATTATTTACAGTTTTGGTAATACGCTCTCAAGTTAGTATTGAAAATAATTCCATTAAATATACTAGTACTAAACATCAAAAACCATTCTTAGTCTAAGCAACTTCTCATGCCAATCACCTGTATGTAACTAAACTTAAATACAGGACGTGGAAATACTATTTGTCATTACTATTTTCCATTAAAAAATGTCCAACCATCTGTTAAACCATCTGTTAAACACGACAGATACCCCACCCATGCAGTACAGTCTCAATGGCTGCCTCAGAACACATTAATCAATTCAATTCAGCCAGTTTTCCTGGAAGTGACCTACATGACAAACCAGGAATGTTTTCATTTTAGCATTTCTAACAGTAGTTTTGCAGTCTCCCCATGCTTCATCAATTTGTACAACTGTGCTTACTAGTACATGTACATGTTGTTTCAGCAAACAATACTGAATTTGATGCGAAAAAGTTGAAATCAATTGCAATATGCCTGCTTAATACTGTTTCATGACACAATGTACAATTTCTAACATAATGACATGGCTTCAGTAACCAAAGCTAGCTAGCCTGAAATTGCCTGCAAATCACAAATTATCAATTTGCACGTCATCTCTCCATCTCCATGTGTACATGTTTTATCAATCAGATCACATGAAATCCTCTGTAAATCACATAGAACACAGCCACAGGCCATTAAACAAGAGCCCATGGAGGTGTGTCTGTGTGACATGAAAAGATTAAAACTTTATCAATCACTATAACTGAAAAAGCTGTGAAAACAGATGCCACTACTTGCTTCAGTTCTAACTTGAATAGTGAATACACACAAGCAATCATGTTTTACTACAGCTTATCTAAGGTAGATAATGACGCTCAATCCAGAGAAATCCACTCATCTTCTTCAGCTTCCTCACAGTTCTGTTCCTCAATACTACCAAAGGCGACTAAGTCTTCAACTGTGACATCATATGTGTCATCATTAGCTACACAAGGCAGAAAGGGGGGGAGGTCTGGAAGCTCTGATACATGAGGTCTGAACACTCGTACTGCCATTTTTAGACGCAGTTGCAGTTTGATCATCTTTGTCTGGAGAGCTGCCCTTTCTCCCACATTATCAATCTTAATGAAGGTACGCTGCAGATCTTCAACTTGCTGGATTAGGAAGGCAAGCACCTCCCTCATCTCCTCCTTTACAATCCCAATTTCCTCCTGGGCACATCTCTTCATGCAGACTGCATCTATAGCCTTCCTCTGGAGGCTATAAGGCAGGTCTCCTTCTTCCTGTGGAATACATGAATGATACATGAATATATCTATATACAAATTTTATCTATCTATTTTTATCTATCTATTTTTATCTATCTATCTATCTATCTATCTATCTATCTATCTACCTATCTATCGATCATCTATCTATATATCTATATAAATCAATAAAATGATTTTAAAAAGCAACCATGTACACATGTCACCTAAATGAGTAAGATACTAAATACATATGTTAGTCTTTCAGCTTATTACTAAACCCCTCATGGCTTAACCAGTAAAAGTTCACCATGCTCTCTGTTGGACATAAATGTTGCTTCCGTACAACTGTACAAATGTACAACTTCTGCCTAGCTCTAGCTCAGTTTCAAAGTATTGAGAGCAAATATTTTCAGAGTACATGTATTAGGAAAAACTGTTCCCAAATAACTTGAGCAGTTGTTTTTGCAGTTACATTTCTCCCCAACATGTAGAATTTGTTTTTCTTCTAAATGCACAGATACTGTAAAAAGGAAAAGACATACATGTATATAGATTGCATGTACACAACAGCCAGTAAATGAAACATTTTGCAAACATAATTGATTCTGCAGCATTAATCACTTACCCCAACTGGGAGATCCATGTTGAAATACCCCTGCCAATAGGGATCACGGGCCTCAGCGATGTCAATAACTGAAGGAAACTTTGTGTCCTGTGGTGGCCATTCCAAGTTATTATACTCTTTAACTGTCTTGGCCAGCTTCAAATTGATAGACTGAAGCTGGCCAGACAGCTTTTTTGCAATAGCCTGCCCATCTGAAACGACAAGTCAAGAGAATGCATTGGTCAGAACTGTTTGCTCCACTGCTGTCATTTGCTTAAATGTACATCTGTAACACAAGCCACAAGTTGGCACAATTGGTGACAATGTGCACAATTGATGGAAGGCGGATAACTCATTTGTAGCAAAATACACACCTGGATACCTGGCTTTGCAGGCTAGAAGGAAGACTCTCTCGCTTGCTTCTGACCTTGCCTCTGTGAGAAGGTTTGTTCTCTCCTCTTGGTCAAGCGCCTTCAACACAGACTGGAAGTTGGCACTGTCAATGTCCCAACGCCTTATGCGGTGACTCTTCAAAGTTTTCAATTTTGGCCATCAACCTACAAAGTAAACACATGTTACATAACCTTCAATTCTCTGAATGGCATTAACACTATCACTTAGAAGCATTACAAAGTGAATATTGGTAGAAATTGCTTAGTACAATTTCTTCATATTGACCATTTCAGGCAGTGACATCAGAGACACGTTTACAAAGTGTACATGTACAGTAGCAATTCAGCAAAAATGACGTTTATCTTTACATTAGATGCAAAAAAAGATCATGGTTATGAATAACACTTACTGTTTTTCAATCTTTTGGTGTACAGCTACTGTCATCAAAGATGTGTCATCGTCTGTGGCAAGGATATCCTCTCTAGGAGTCAAATTTTAAACAATATTAGGGTTTTTGACTAGACTATGCTATCTAATCTGACTTTAAATATCCATTTGAAACAGGTTTTGTTTTAAACATTGAATGTTAATTTTAAAAAAATGTACATATGTTTTTAAGAAAATCTGTTGACTAAAGGCTCTAAAGAACTAAGTTGGTTACATTTCCCATAATAACAAACCAGAAATGTAGGAATAAATTTCAAACAATAAACAAAACATCAAACCAGCAAATCAAATCTGTCTTGTTCAAGAATACAAACTTCACAAAATTTTGTAACTCTGAGTAATCAAGAAGCATTACACACAGACTATTAGTGTCACTGAAAATAGTCCATTATAAGTAATTTCTGATGTACATAGCAACCCTTTGACTTTGACATGAGAAAGACATAATGAATACCTACTGTAATGATTGGTGCTTGAGCCGAGTTTTCACATAGTCTTTCTTCCACTTGCACATACCAGCTAAGAAACAAGACTATAGTCAGTGGTAGAAATTCAAACATTTCCAAAGTCATTTTCTACGTACATATCATGATCATTACAAAGACTCAAAAAGTAAGTCCGTAGTGGCAGAGCACAAGAAAATCCTAAAAATTCTTACTGTTGTAACATTAGACTAAAAATTGTATAATCTCATTCTTACCTGGTGGCGCCTGATTCTTCTTTTGTCGGAAGTTTTCTTGTTCTTTCACATACATTCTTCTCATGTCCTCCTCTGTGACTGGTACTATGTAAAATATACAGCAATACATCAATACAGTGAACACATTCAAACAGTGAGCAAACAAACTGTGTTACATCGGCATCAATATAACACATTAATACCCATATCTTTATATCATGAAGTGGGGGGATAAATAAAAAAGATGAAGTAATTATTATATCATAACTATTATACACTATGGTTGGTCTGCAGCATATCACGTACCATATCTTGGCTATATCAACATACACCATTGGAGGATTTTGGGTTGCACCCTTAACACAAGTAGTGCAAAACATGCATTGGGAAAAGGGTTGAAAGAATAATGTGCTTGGTCAATTTATCTTCAAACAACATTTACCTGGTGCTTGTTTCACTACTTCGCATATGTTCTCTTCAGACAGGGCTTGCATCTTTCCTGCCTTGTCCATTCTTTGTAGAAGAGCAGCTTCTACAGAACATTAGTAAAGATCACATAATAAACCTACTCTCGACACAAGGAGTAACAAATTCTGTAAACATTACCTAGAAAGTTATGATACAGTCTACCTGTTATAAAAAGAAGGCTGTGAATTGTAACAGATTTACTAAAAAAGTACATGTAGTAATAGTAATATAACAAAAGTCCTTAAGCAAGAAATGATCCTTTAAAATGCTTGTTGAAATTAATGACTTATGCATCAAGAAAATCTCTGTGAGTACATCCACATACCTATGTCAGTAGCCTTTCGCCTGGCATAATGTAGAGCAGCATCAGTCAGTAGATCAATGCGATGAGAAGGCGTCATCTCCTTTGTAATCCTGTAGAATGGCCTCAGGTGAGACCATATCCTTTCCATGCCCTCACCATCAGTCAGGCCAAAGCCCTCTTTCCTCCTGGTGCTATACAATATCTGAAATACAAGACATATATAACAATGTATGATATTTCTTGAACATCATATGTTATCACACCAATTGATGTGATTGGCACAAATACATGAAATCTGCAGGAGTTCACAGAGGATCAATAAGATTAATTAGCATTTTTGTTTCATCAAAGCAGTTAAAACGTGATAGATTTCACAGGGAAGCACAAAAATAATTCAGGTTTGGAAGTCATAGTTTTGAAAATATTGTCCTGTATTGTGGTTCAGAAGAAAATCATTTAAAATACACATCTAAGTAATTACAGTGGAATACATTTGTAAGTACCTGACAGGTGTTTGTGCCGTACAATGGAAATGGGTATTGCAAGATTAACTCGATCCAGAAGATCTTGTTGTTTAGTTCTCTGCAAGACAAAAGAAGTGAGACAAATGATAAGTATGGTTAAGTAGGGTAAAGCCATACTGACTTGATTCCAGAAGTATATAAATGACTTGGGCACACAAAAACTGATGTAAGCGTGTTAATAAAGAAAAAGGGGAATAAAAAAAAGTAAAAATGAAATTAAAGTGGTCTGGACAATGAAAGGTTGACTGACTACCGAGGACATAATGGACTTACAGTATGGTAGCAAGAACGAGCGTATGTCATCCATATAATCAAATCAGTGTGTCCTACCATTTACAAATGACTGCCAAAAGGTCCATTTAGAAATTAGATACAAAGATTTGATAAGATCAAAAAGAACGTGACACATGAACTACTTTTCAGTTTGTTTTTAAAATAAACATACAATATGTAAAGCTAAGCAACGGTCAAGAAAAGTTACAGAAAATGACTCACTTTCAGATGAGCTTCCAAGACACATCCGATGTCATACACCACACGCAGGCGGATATTTTTGAGTTGTGCCTGCTGAACCAATTGTTGAATTAGGAGGACAGGATATCCCAGACTATTGAAAACCATAAAAAAAAACAATATTCAGTTAAAATGTAACTATTATCTTTAGTTACTCTTAGTTAAATAAATGACTAGCAATTGTTGACATACATGTTATTAATATGATTACATCTCAGAGTGGACCCTGCATTCCTACCCCAAAACATGGGTCATAGCTCAAAATGCCTACATTTAGAAAAATTAACATTTGTAACTAAAAATTAACAATTGGTTACTCTTACTTCTAATATACCCCATACACCCCTAATTTTAATAGGCAGATGTGGAACATATCAAATAATCATACTGTACTAACTAACCTCTCTCCTCGTGACATGTTTAGGAATCTGATTGGCATTTCATGCCTACAGGAAGAACCAAACACGCCACTGACATCTTACTTCTCCTGTCTGTTGGTAGACCTTATCTTTGAGCCTGCCTGGAAGTGATTACAGTCCTGTTTAGAAAATAAAAAGAAGTATTAAATAACTACATGTACATAAGTAAAAGTAAGCTATGCCTGTATATGTAAAAAGAAAGAAAAATGTGGTTTTAAATTCTAAGGCATAGACAATCAGTGCTGTTATAGGATCACAGATTACACAATTTGACATACAAGTTTCACATTATATAGGAAAGTAAATATTGTTGTTGCCTCATCAGGTTTGGCTTGATCCTTGTTCTTGTACTTCTCAAGGAAAGTCTTCACCACTTCATCTTCCAGAAATAGCCGACTACCATGGTGTGGCGGGACAATGCTGGTGCCTGAACTGGCCTTACGGACCAGTCCAAAGTTTCCATCAAGCAGGATGGTCTGCTCCCCATTTTGCTAGAAATTGAAAGAAGGCAGAAAAATAACACACCTATATATACCATAGCTCAGCAGAGCTAAGGCGGCCCAGGGCATATTCTAGCTACCACTTAGGTCCTGAATAAAACTTGTAATAACTCGACAATACATGTTTCAAAATGGCTCAAATTTGCAGGGGAGATAAATTAGATGAATATCAGTGCGTCTAAATAAATTTGATGTTGTTATGTTAAGTCTATTATGAAAATAATAATGCCATTAGAACAACATTAGAATAATAATGCCAACATAAACTGGTGAGTCAAATCAAGATTTCCTTTCCTTTGTTTTGAAAAATTGTTTTTTATGAATATCATTGATAGATTTTGAGGTTAGCTCTTTAGAAATTGGCTTATAACAAAATGTAGCAATCATTTAACAAAATATTCATATCGTTTTGGTGTAGAACGGGACATGACGCATCATTTGACATACTTGTTTTCCTTCCTGAAAGGTGGCTATAGTTCTTTAAAATCGTTCAAAGTTTGTACTACAAATTTGTAGCAGGAAAGCCACATTTTGCCCATTTTCTCCCATCAATCACAATTAATCATGTTGACAGCCACATCAATTAGGTGTTTTAGCACCTCCACGAGACACAATTATGAGCCATCCGCATTTGCATAAGGACGTATTGTTATGCGCAGTTCTGTGAGTCAGGGACTGTCACATTGTTGTCTTTACCTTACTTGAAAGGAGGTTGGTTGTAAGAGAGAAGACAAAACGAAACGAAAAAAGTTGCAAATGCCAAAAGTCTTCATAACAAAGGCTGAAGAACATTTATTACCGTATTTTAGCTAGTTTTGCTCAACAATCTATGGTATATATACATAATTTCCTCTCAGAAAATGGACTGGGAGACTCGTATCACGAGATCCAGTGATTCAAGTAGGCAGATAATAAAATGGGTTACAAAGTAGCAAAAATTACATGATGTGTTGTGATTGTTTAAATATCACGCACGGGAAGGGCATTTTTTTCTATCAGGCTGCTTCTAACTAGCCTGGGCGCCAGACTGTTTCCAGGGCGTACAATTAGGCCAGCTTCTCGGGTCCCGGACTAACATGCCCCCGAAGAAATTTTACCACAGAGCCTCTCAGTTATAGCCCTGAGCCTGTACTCTGGCTAACTCGGGGCCTTGTGCGCTATAGGTCTTGGTATCAAGGTTACTACTTGCTTCTACATGTACCAAGGACATTATACAGAGTGTATAATGTCCTTGCTTCTACCATGGGGGTAAAAAAAATTACTGTTAATTTTTACCTCCATGCTTCTACCAAGAGGACAGAAACGGTAAACGTAAAATGATTTGGCCTCCGACTTGCTTCATTGTGCCACAAATAGCCTCCTTCAGACTCCTTTGCATGCTGAATAAATAGTAGAAATTGACCGAGAAACGTAGCCTCCTTCGCAGACTTCTGAGGCAGGGCATTATTTCTTGGGGGTGGCGTGGAGGGACAGCTACGTTTTGCTGCTGAGGGATTTTGCCGGGGAGAGACGATTTCACCGCACCGAGTTGAATTTATTTCAGACTTTTACAGTGCAGCCCAAAAACATGAAACCTCTATGCAATCATGCAGGTAAAAAATATTTTTTTGACCTCCTTGATGCAATCTAGACCTGTGTTGGCTTTTCCTTTGTCTGTATGCTGGAGGCCACCTTGTAAAAAATCCTGGGGGTCCAACAATTAACTCACCAGGAGAAATTAACGCTTGATACAGATGCAAAAGCGGGCGGGACCGAAGGCGGTGAACAGATACTCAAACTTATGCATATTTACAAGCAAGTCACTCGCACTTGGTTTATTACAATATTAAAGTAGCCAATCATAATATTAAAATGAGGTATATGGCAAGGCAGGCCTGGGCCGCCTTAGCTCTGCTGAGAGGGATCGTTATTCCAAAAGTGTCAACGTAAACAAAAGATATAGTAGTATTTACAATAGAGCTAGTTTTACTAAAAAAACTGTTACAGAATGAGATGATGGGGGTGGGGGGTGGCTTACTTTGGGACAAGCAGGACAGATAGTTCCATAATTCAGCCATGGGGAAAGGTCTGTCAATGTCGACTTCCGGTAGAAGAATTGTCTGAACAAAGAGATGGGTTCCCCCACCAAAGACCTGTATAGACTGTTCATCTGTGTGAAATGTACATATATATACCATGTATGTAAGTTTACAGCATATTAATCTGTCAGTCATATGGTGTAATCTGTCAGTTTCACTTTCAGTCCCTCTGTTAAATGAAATGAAAATTGGAAGAATATGCTTAGTTTATAGTATAAATAAAAGACACCAAGACTAACCTCAGGAAGAGAGAGGTTGTTCTTCCAGCGAATAGAGTTGCAGAACCCTTCTACAGACACATGGCATTCGTTGCCAAGGATAACAAGCCATTCCAACAGGGACACGGCAAAGGCTGTCTGCGGGTTTTCTGATGCACCCCACAAACCGTATCTCACTAATGACACTAGCTCAGGTTCACACTTGCAGAAGTTGATGTGGACAAACCGCAGTCGCCCTAGAAAAACAAAAAGATTAGAGACTGACTTGTTATAGATATGACCATCTACAATAGATCCTATGTCACCTGTGATGTACTCTTAGAACTCGACAGTGGATTTGGACAGAGACCTTGAGTTGCCTTTTTAGATGCTTTAATCCAGAAGGGTTAGTAACGGTACAAACGTGGATGTGCTCAGTCTGGAGTCCAGGCAGAAAGAGGGGGAACTAGAGTCTGGGGTTACTCTACTAGACTGAGCTACTTAATATTCAGATATGGACTAGTCTATCACAGAGAGTTAGAGAGGTGTCGTCTAACTTTGCTTAATATCACAACATCCCCCTTTGTTTAAAAGGTTAATTGTTTGGCATGCATTACCTCTATTCACTGCATTCTAGTTTCTCGCATGCATTACTGCTACTTGCTGCTTTGCTAACTTCTTCAAGTCCAGAATCGTAGTCCAGAATCACAGTCCGTTTTCCGGTTTGTTCTGTCAACTTTAAATTTCACAAGTCCAATTTCACGGGTGGCTTCACAGCTCTTCCAGATCGGGTGATGTACGGTTGTGCTGCGGTGTCATTCAGGACTGGTGTCGGAGACTCGTCGAGCGCGGACTCGTCGCTGGTGTCAACGCTGGATTCTTTTATCTTCTGAAGATGCTTTCTGTTTCTCCGATATTGCACACCGTCTGGCGTTTCTACTAGCCATGATCTGGGTTGTTCTGTCTGCTGGATAACTGTAGCAGGTGTCCACGTCTTGTTTTGCTGCTGTATCCTTACTTCTTCTCCAGTTGATATCGGTGGGAGAGGTCGGCTGGACTTGTCGTACTGCGTCTTCTGACGCTGCTGCTTCTGCTCTAGCTGTCGTCGCACGTTGTCGTGGTTGACAGACTTCGGCGTCAGCTGTTCGTTTGTCGTCGGCAGGCGCGTGCGCAATCTTCGACTCATCAGGAGTTGTGCCGGCGACGGTAGTGTGTTGTCTACTGGAGTGTTCCTGTACTCCAGCAGTGCGAGAAACGGGTCTTTGTTATCCGCTCTCGCCTTCTGTAACAGGCGTTTCATGGTCTGCACAGCTCTCTCAGCCAGTCCGTTTGACTGAGGATAGTGCGGGCTTGACGTGGTGTGTGTGAACGACCACGTTTGCGCGAATCTTGCAAACTCTTCACTCGCATACTGCGGTCCGTTGTCACTGATGACTTCCTCCGGGATTCCGTGTGTTGCGAATGTTTTCTTCAGCTTTATTATCACGTCTGTGGATCGGGTGCGCTCCAGTTTGTGGAACTCTATGTACTTGCTGTAGTAGTCCACAATCAGTATGAAGTCTTTCCCGTCCCAGTGAAACAGGTCTGTTGCGACTTTCTGCCACGGTCTCTGCGGGACCGGATGTGGCGTCATTGGCTCTTTCACGTTGGAGGATCGATGTTCCTGGCATACTGCACATCTCTGGATCCTCTCGTCAATCTGGGCGTTTAGGCCTGGCCAGAACAGTATGTCTCGGGCTCTTGCCTTTGTCTTTTCTTGACCCAGATGACCTTCATGCAGGATGTCTAGCATCTCTTTTCGCATTGACCTTGGAACCAAGATCTTCTGCCCTTTGAAGATCACGTCATCATGGACGGTCAGCTCGTCTCGGTGGTTCCAGTATTCTGCGATTTGCGGGTCACACTTGTCTTTCGTGTCGGGCCATCCTTCTTTGATGGTGCCCTTGAGAGTGACTAACTGTGAGTCTTCTCGTGTTTCTCGGCGGACTTCTTCCATCCTCCGTGAGGACACAGGCAGGTTGCTTTTCACCATGTGCACTTGTGCCTCAAATGTTTCTGACCTGTCGTCAGTCTCCTCCAGGTACAGCCTGCTCAGAGCGTCGGCTACTGGTATATCCTTGCCAGGTCTGTGCTGCACTACCAGGTCGTACTTCTGTAATCTCAGTAGCATCCGTTGCATTGCCGGCGCTGAGCTTAGTGGTTTCCTGGTGATTGCTTCTAGTGGCTTGTGGTCTGACTCTACCGTGACGCTTCGGCCATACACGTATTGGTGGAATCTCTCACATCCAAACACGATCGCGTAGAGCTCTTTCTCGATTTGAGCATAGTTGACCTCTGTCGTATTCAACGACTTTGATGCGTACGCGACTGGTCTTCCTTCTTGCATCAGGACAGCTCCTAGTCCGTACTTGGACGCATCTACTTGCAGGGTTGCTTCTTTGTGTGGGTCGTAGTACGACAACGTGGAGGCTTCGGCTACGACTTTCTTCATGTCGGCGAACGCTTGTTTCCTCTTGTTGTCCCACACAAACTCTATGTCTTCTCTGAGAAGCTCTCGCAGCGGTGCCGTAACCTCTGACAGGTTAGGGGTAAACTTTGCGAGATAGTTGACCATCCCTAGCATCGTCATCACCTCTGCCTTGTTGGTGGGTGCCTTCATGCTGGTAATGGCTCTAACTTTCTTCGGGTCTGGCTTCAACCCGTCCTCGTGAGGATATGTCCGAAGTAGCCTACTTCTGGAGCAGCTACGACGACTTTCTCAGGGTTCAGTTTGACGCACTTGTCACGAGCTCTCTGGAGCATGGCTCTGAACCG